TACCATTTATTATGTTTTAATATTAATATAATTAATATATTATATATTTTTTATGTATTTATTAACAATTAATGTATTTATATTTCATATTTATATTTTTTTCAGGTATTCACTTATTTTAAATATTTACAGTTTTTGAAAAGTATTCTATGTCTTTTTTTCTCTTTTTATATGACAAATAATTTGAAAAATATTATATATTATATTTTCTTCCGAAAACATTTATTTTATTCATATTTAATATTTACATTTTAGTCATTTTCATTTTTTCTCATGACCATCTTATAAACTATTAATGCATTTTATATTTTTCCAGGAGACAATGGAAAAATATAATATGCATTATATTTTTCCATATAATGCATATATAGATGGCATATATCCATATATGTATACACATCTACACCCGGCAGATGTAAGCACGTTACATCTGCCAGGCCTTCAGCTGTTCAGAGCGGATCGCGACACAGAATCAAAAGGGAAATTGCGTGGCAGTGGGACATGCTTTTACATCAATGAATGCGGCCTGACAACATCTCATCTGATTGCATTCCACTGTTTTTCTACTGAAGTTCCCTACTGAAGACAGAAGCAGCAGTTGTGAGTGGGGTGACCAACCCTAGCTCCACCTCTGCGTTTATTGCATTAAATATTTTTTTTATTAACAATTAATGTATTTATATTTCATATTTATATTTTTTTCAGGTATTCACTTATTTTAAATATTTACAGTTTTTGAAAAGTATTCTATGTCTTTTTTTCTCTTTTTATATGACAAATAATTTGAAAAATATTATATATTATATTTTCTTCCGAAAACATTTATTTTATTCATATTTAATATTTACATTTTAGTCATTTTCATTTTTTCTCATGACCATCTTATAAACTATTAATGCATTTTATATTTTTCCAGGAGACAATGGAAAAATATAATATGCATTATATTTTTCCATATAATGCATATATAGATGGCATATATCCATATATGTATACACATCTACACCCGGCAGATGTAAGCACGTTACATCTGCCAGGCCTTCAGCTGTTCAGAGCGGATCGCGACACAGAATCAAAAGGGAAATTGCGTGGCAGTGGGACATGCTTTTACATCAATGAAAGGTGGTGTACAGATGTAACAGCGGTGTAGAAGATGTGCTGTCCTGATCTTGAAGCGCTTTTCATCAATTGTAAGCCGTTCAACTTGCCGCAGGAGTTTTCCTCGTTCATTCTCGTAAGTGTTTACATTCCTCCGCAAGCGTACGTGAGCACGGCGCTACAGCAGCTAGCTGATCAGATCACAGACACAGAACAACAACTCCCGGATTCTGTTGTAATCAACAGAGTATAACAATAATATACTGGACCACTGCTACTCCACAATAAAGGATGCATATCACTCAGTTCCCAGAGCAGCTTTAGGACTCTCTGACCATTGCCGGGTTCATCTTCTCCCAACATACAGGCAAAAACTTAAATCTACTAAGCCTGTAGTTAGGACTGTAAAGAGATGGGCCAACGAAACAGAGCGGGCATTACAAGCCTGTTTCGACTGAACTGATTGCAGTGATTTTGAAGCTGCTGCCACTGATCTGGATGAGCTCACCGATTCTGTAACATCATAGGCCTATATCAGTTTCTGTGAGGATATATGCATTCCTACCAGGACTTATTTAACATACAACAATGATAAGCCATGGTTCACAGCAAAACTCAGACAGCTTCATCATACCCATTCCAAAGAAACCCAAAATCACAGGACTGAATGACTTCAGACCTGTTACCTTAACATCTGTTGTCATGAAGTCGTTTGAGAGACTGGTGTTGGCTTATCTGAAGGATATCACTGGACCCTCTGAAGTTTGCTTACTGAGCAAACAGGCCTGTGGATGATGCGGTGAACATGGGACTTGGACAAACCGGGGACTTATGTGAGGATCCTGTTTGTGGACTTCAGTTTGGCCTTCAACACCATCATCCCAACACTCCTCCAGACCACACTAACCCAGCTCTTTGTTCCTAGCTCTATCTGTCAGTGGATCACCAGCTTTCTGACAGAAAGGCAACAGCTAGTGAGACTGAGGAAACTCATGTCAAACAGCCGCACCATCAGCACTGGTGCCTTCCAGGTATGTGTGCTCTCCCCACTGCTCTTCTCCCTCTACACAAATGACTGCATCTCTACTGACCCCTCTGTCAAGCTCCTGAAGTTTGCGGACGACACTATAATCATCGGACTCATCCAGGACAGTGACGAGTTTGCTTACAGGCAAGAGGTTGAGCAGTTGGCTGTCTGGTGCAGTCTTAACAACCTGGAACTGAACACGCTCAAAACAGAGCTGATAGTGGACTTCAGGAGGAACCCCCCTGCACTCCCCCCACTCACCATCATAGACAGCACTGTGGCTGCAGTAGAGTCATTCAGGTTATTGGGCACCACCATCTCTTAGGACCCGAAGTGGGACAATCACACTGTGCTTCCTTCGCCAGCTGAGGAAGTTCAACCTGTCACAGGAACTGCTCACACAGTTCTACTGAGCAGTCATTGAGTCATTGTCCTGTGCACTTCAATAATGACGCTTTTCCCCTGCATGGTACGGCATGGCATGGCTCGCTTTTGGGGGGTTTTCCACTGTGTACAGTACCTGGTACTTTTTTCAGTACCACCTCGGTTGAGGTTCCAAGCGAGCCGTACCGTTACCAAAATGAGACGTGTAAACCCTGCTGATCACTGATTTGCTGGAGAGAATCGCCATACATGCGTCATTGACACGAGACACTAGACCCGCTAGATTAAATCAGCACAGTCAATGAGGATCGAACGCAACTTTTTTTAAACGAACACAACAGTTTCGAACGAGTGCACCTTTTTTTAAACAACAAAATAATGGCTGTTTCGTGGTCTGTTGAGGAAGTACAGACGTTCCTCACGTTGATAGCCGAGGAGCGGATCCAGCGAGAGCTTGATGGGATGACGCAGAATGAAAAAGTTTTTAGGAGGTTGCGGCAGTAGAGGCGGCACAACAATAACGACATGTCTATAATCCCGCCCACTCTAAAGCGGTACTAAACTGCAGTGGAAACACAAACTGAACCAAGCTGTGCCGAGCCATACTATGCAGTGGAAAAGCGCCACAACTGTCTGGTTTGGCTCAGCTACAAAAACAGATATCAGAAGACTACAGAGGACGGTTCGGACTGCTGAAAGGATTATTGGTGCTCCTCTGCCCACCCTCCAAGAACTGTATATATCCAGAGTGAGGAAAAGGGCTCAGAAAATCACTCTGGATCCCTCACATCCAAGCCATCTTCTTTTTGAACTTTTGCCATCTGGTCGGCGCTACAGAGAACCGAACACCTGGACTGCCAGACAAGAAAAGTTTCTTACCCCAGGCAATCTACCTCATGAACAGTTAAATGCTCTCCCCATTGTGCAATAAAAATATTTGCAATACCACTTATATTTATTTGATACCACCCTACATCTTATTCTATTCTATTCCATCTATAGCACATGTACATACAATTTTTGTTCATGCTATTTTTGCTTATTTATGTATATTCATATGTGTATTTTATTCATATATCTTTATTTTTTTATTATCTGTGTGTTGTCTCTCTGTACTGGAAGCTTTTGTCACCCAAACAAATCCCTTGTGTGTGCAAACATTAATGTATATGATTAATGTATATTTCATATTTAGATTTTATTCAGGTATATACACTTACATTAAATATTTACAGTTTGTGTGTATGTATTTTATTCCCATTTCAGATCTGTCAGCAGATCCCTAATATATCTGCTCATAGACGGATCCGCTGATACTGTATACGCGGCTTTCAAATGCTCCCATGTGTATCTGTGTAAACGCTCAGTGAAGAGCGTGAAGTGATGATCATTGTAGCCAATCACAGACAATCATATCTGTTGAGCACGAGAACATAATGGCCAATGTTTAAGAATCTGCTCAACAGTGCTCAAAATGCTGGAAATGCTGGTATCGTCACATTTTTTAAATTTCAGTACCGACTGGTACTGAAGTTGGTAATCGTAACAACCCTAATGAGAATTTGTGGTAAACATGCATATTATGATAGTTTTAGTGCGCATCTATGTGGTTGCTAGGCATGGTTTAATACCAAAGTTTAGTACTTAGTGGTTTGTTCAGATCTCAAACCTTAAGTGTGAGCAATAGTACTAGTGATGCTGCATTGCATGCACCACTAACTACAAGCACCGGCCTCATTGTTGCATAAATACCTAGCATGTCTACCAAGCATTGTCTGGAAATCATCAAAAGTTTGTTGCTACACTGCCATCACATCTATGAGTTCTTGTTCTCCAGTAGCTCTCCACGTCTCTGGAGCCATTACAACAATTCTGGCCGGTGCCACTTGACGAGCCCAAGTTATTTTTGATCAAAACGCATGCTAGAGAAAAATCAGTCATTAGCAGAAGCCATTTCAGCTGTCATATTGTTTGGACAGCTTGCAGCTCCGCGTCACGACAGGGCAACTCTCAGGGAAATGGGTGTGTAAGTCTGTGATGTTTTTATTCTCACCGTCGACGGAGATGCTCACAATCTCGCCTGTCGTTTGGAGTTTAAATGCTTTAACTTCATTTTAATGACGCCGGCTCTTGTTCAAATACATTGTCAAGAGTAATGATTGAGGTATACATGAAAAGAAAGAAGGAGAAAGAATAGAACAAAGTCATTTCTTTGAATGAAGGTACATGCACATGATGGGTGGATCGATCTTAAATTATTGATACATCCTCATATAACAATATCCAATTGGACTTCATTAGACTTTTTTTAAATTGCATAAAAAAATTTTATTATATGATTTTTAGCTGATAAACAAATGTATCAGTCTTTACAATTTTATCTCTGTTCGTCTTATGTGAGAAAAACAAGCATAATTTATTTATTTTACTTCACAAAACAATGGTGATGCTAAATGTGTCATTTGTAATATTATAATTTCTTAATTTTTTAAAGGTAGGCTATTATAAATTATTATAAATGGTAAACAAAAACATTATAATTTAACATTATAGTTTATTTACAGTCATGTGAATCATGGTGCAATTTAAATCTATCTATCTATCTATCTATCATGTTATGAGCTTTTTAAAATGTAAATTATACATTATTATACATGATAAACAAATTTTATTCTTTAATTCTATTATTATTATTATTTATTAGTTATAAGCTTTCTTTAAAATGTACATTTTTATAAATGATAAAAACAGACATCTTATAATTTGCAGTTTATTGACTGTAATGATGCAATTGAAATAATTACAGTATGTTCAGAAATGTTAATGATTATGAATATTATAATGTTATGATTATTTATGAATATTTCAGTTGTCACATTCATGTGCAAATCCGTATAATTTGATATTTATTTAAAAATATATATATTTTTCTTTTTAATAAATTTTTTTTTTTTTTTTTTTTACAAAAAACCCTTTTTGTCTGTGTTATCCATCAGCTACACACAAGCACAATCCGTAGTAAGCACACACAACTTGATTTTATTGTAGTGTGTTTTTTTAGACAGATCAAAATAAGATGTCGGAGATGTGCCAAAATAAGACTTTGGCAGCTGAGGGCTCAGAAAGATGACCCTTCGCCCAGATTCCAAGGAAAACAAAGGAAGCGAATAGCAGCCCGAGACAGACATTTATATAGGCGCAAAGAAAAACATCAGAAAATCTACACAGGATTTAGATTCATCCTACAAATCGCTGACAAGAGGAGAGAGAGAGGATAACAAGGATAATCTGTGAGAAAACCCTTAAAAGAATCAATTTGGCAAGGTGTCTGGGAATTTGACTTTCTCCAGCACTGTGATTCCGGCTGTCTCGCGGCAGAGTCGGATGACTGTCTTTCTGTCTCTCTGACAGGCGGACCAGGGCCAAATTGACAGTTCTTTAAAGCACCTGACAGAAAGTGGCATTAATTAAGTCATTGCCGGACTTTAATTGTGTTAAGGAATAGGAAGGGAAAAAAAATCTAATATGAGAAAAGGTTACCAAGTCCTCTCTGGTGTCAGATTTTCTACTTTCCATGAATATTAATGCGTCTAATGAAGACAATCTCAACCTCATCTCCCCATTGTTCCATATTCAGGTGCCAGGCTTCAGGAGCCTGTGATTTGTTGTTAAAGAACAAATATGTCAGAAAGAGACGACTGCCACACTTTTATCAGCAATTTATAAAAATGCCTTCTTCTCGTGATGGAAAATCAGAGCGTTTCAGGTGCGTTTTATTTTTAAACGAGATAGAAGTCAGACTCGGATGGCATATATGATGTACAGGCTCTGCCACGCAAAATGATCCTCCTATTCATTTGAAAATGGCAAGCAGGCAATCAGTGCGGACTGCTAATTTTATCATATCCATTGGAGAACAATTAGACAGGAGGCCACGCAAATGGCATCTATTATGGGTCATTGAATTCTCTTGTTGCGTTCTCATGGGCGGCCCTTGCATGGAAAGAAAAATCTTTCAAATGAAACAAAACAAGTCTATCAGGATTCTGATGGCGAGCTGATCTCCATCAGTGGTCAAAATCATAGACGAAATTGAACATAGGTCACTATCAGGTGATGTATTTGTGGTTTTAGGTCAATAGAATTCATTATACTTAAGCAGCTAGTAATAGTAACATGTAGTGTAGTTTGTTAACAGTCAAGCTACGTTTTTTTTTTTTTTTAAAAGGTAGTTAAATGCACTTTACAAGCTAAATAGTAGCTAAAACATTTAATCTATTTTTTGTATCTATATACCAAACACTACTGTTCAAAAGCTTGGGATCTGTAAGATTTTCTTTCATGCTCACCAAGGCTGCATTTATTTGATCAAAAATACAGTAATATTGTGAAATATTATTGTAATTTAAAATAACTGTTTTCTATTTGAATATATTTTAAAATGTAATTAATTCCTGTGATGCAAAGCTGAATTTTCAGCATCATTACCACAGTCTTCAGTGTCACATGATCCTTCAGAAATCATTCTAATATGTTGTGTTGTGCCTAGTTGGATTTAAATTCATGCACCTCAGTTTTTAAGTGAACATTGCCAAAAATATCCACAAATAATGTTTTTTTTTTTTATTAAAAAATTGAGCATATGCTCAGATCATTGAGGCCTATGATCAAGAAATTCAAAGAAATCTGTGCTAATTGAAAAAAAAAACAAGCTGACAAAAAGATTGAATCCTAGATTTTGTGATAATATAGTATAATGAGAGATTTCAGTCATTTTTGCCCGGGAACACCAAATTAGGTAAAGGATTTTCAGCACCGCACAAGAGGGTTAAATAAACAGTAAAAATGTATTACCAGACAAAGAATGTTGACAGAGCTGTTAAATAGATTTGGGAAATAAATACACAAGTGATCAGTAATTGAAAATCTGAAGATGCTGAGAAAATGCATAAAAATGGCTCTAAAACTGGGATTTCATTATGCAGGATTTGAGGTCATGCTTAATTTGCTCAGATTTATCGTCCCCAGGTTGTCCAGGACAGGCATGCACAAGAAGCCGCAGTGATTTGTGGGTAACATTAAGGCGAGGATGCTGCCAAGAGCACTCAGACCCTCTCAAAATCCCCTCTGCAATCTGTTAAGGTGGTCACTGACAGCAACTGCTAAATCAGTGCCGTCTCTTTTCAACAGAAGAAGCGACGGCCATTTGCCACTTCTGCTGTTTATTAACAACATCCGCGCCACACATTTAGAATCATTAGCAGCTGATCAAAACGTGCATTTATATGAAGGCTTTGGCCAAAGTTGTAGAAAAGTTCATAATCTCTTTGTCTGAGACGGTGAGGGGAAATGCTAAAGTGCAAATGTTTATGCACCACAGTTTCTGTGTGAATATTGCCAAAATTATTCACAAATAATGCTTTTTTTCACTCACAAACTGAGGTGCATAAGCTGAATATCAATGAGGCCTAGGACCAGAGTTGAAAACTGGAGCAAAAATGTCTCCAAAATAAACAAAAATGCCCTCAAATTCAAGATATGGGGGCAAAAATGAATCTAGATATATTGCGGCTGTCACAATTAAAGTTAAATGTGAAATGAATTAAATGTGTCGACGGCGGCATTGCATTTACCATAGATTTGTTCCTGTTGTGTCAGATTTCTTTTTACAACGCTTGCAGTGTTGAGTATTTCACCCAATCACACACGTTTCTGTTGAGCTTAGGAATGCAATGTCCAATCAGAGGCGTTTTTGATTCGTCATCGCGGAGAACACCAGAGTTGTTCAGTGTTCGCGCTCACTGACAGAATTCTGACTCTGCAGTTGCAAATTCTCTCATTATCATAAACAACGGAGTTCAGAAAAGATGTAAGTAGGAGATTGATTTTACAGTGTAAACAGCTTCAGTGATTATAACGGGAGTTTTTGCGAAAGTGCATACAGTAATTCTCATTAGACTGAAGTCTCGGACCGATTCAGTGTTCTTTTATCACTTATATCTTATATATATTTCCCATAAGAGTGGGCACGGCCATTTGTAAATTTAATGTGTCTGGCTTCCGGTCTCATCCGTTCTCGTTATTTCCCTACAGTGGCTAATGAACCGGAAGTCTCGCATATTCACAGAAAACGGCTTACTTCCACGTTGAAAAATAAGGTGGCTAGTCTATAATATATTCTCCGTTTAAAAAAAAAACTTTTGTTTTTCATGCAACTGAAATAACCAGCCTTGATTTTCTAATCCGCTAAAAGCAATAAACAAATTGCTAAACGGTTCTTAGCTTGTTTTGTCTGTATCCAGAAAATGACATGATTTTTCCCCACAAAAAAAAACAACAACTTAAAGGGATAGTTCAACCAAAAATGAAAATTTGATGTTTATCTGC